CGCTGGGACCGGGATGCTGGGGGGCTCTGGGCGGATGACGGGTGACCATGCTGAGCTCCAAACCAAGGGGTGAAGGAGGCAGCAATCGGTATTTGGGGCAGGCGTGGGGTGTGTGGGCAGGTCCTTCCCATGGCTGTAGGAACCAGGGCCAGCGTGGAGGACCAGCTCCCCCTTAGGACGATGTTTTGGGTGCGCTGGTGCTCGATGGGAGGTGCCGTAAGGCTGGAGTCCGAATCCGGCCCCACCGTGTCCTCGGCGCCGCTGGTTTTATGGGAGAAACCGCTGCCAGCGGCACGGCTCACCCGGGGCTGTTCCCGCAGGAGGTGATCGTCCCCGAGGGCAAGTGGAGGAAGGTGTCACCCGCCTCGCTGTCACTGTCGCTGCCGGACGCTGACTACCAGTGCATCCATCGGGCCTCCGTCAGCAGCCTGAGCGCCAAGGAGAGCTCCTTCACCTCCGAGGAGCCCCTGGTTTCGGGTGAGGGCTGCGTCCGACCCAGGGGCGCGGGTTTGCATCCTGCCCCGCACACGGTGCCGGGCGTAAACCTCCATAAATACGTGTTCATCCATCCCCTGCTCTCCTGGAGGGCATTTCTACCTCGCAGATGAGCAGGGTTGAGGCTGGGGATGGGGTCCTGGAGATGGGGTCTCCTGGCTGTGGGTGCCCGTAACACCGTGCAGGCAGCGTCAGCCCATGGGGGAGGCATATTTGATGCTTGAAGGCTCCTGGTTGCCGGAGGAGCGTGAGCATCCGCCCGGCGTTGCCGTGCCGCTGACTCCGGGCTTAACTTTCAGAAAGTGCAATAAACACCGAGGAGGAGCTGGAGGTGGAGCAGAGCTGCGTGGCGGAGCTGAGACCTTCCGACTACCAGCTCCTGAAGGTCTTCATTGTGCTGTAAGTGCGGGGAGGGCGCGGGGGGTACGCTGGGGACGCCCGTCTCGACCACCAGCTGCTGAGCGCTTGTGCTCGTTCCTCTGCTCCCAGCATCTGCCTCCTGGTCGTGTCCTCCTCATACCTGGCGTTTCGCATCTTCCGCCTGGAGCAGCAGCTCTGCTCTCTGAACCGGGACTACCTCTCCCGTGGGCACAGGAGGTGAGGGACCTTCGGGGACGCTTTGGGGCAGGTGGGTCACGCCGCCAGCGGAGAACCCGGGGGATGTGGTGAAAAGAGGAACCGTGACGTGTCCTGGGGACGCTTTGCCCCTTATCCTCTGCCTGCTGCGGGGACGGGCGATGGCAGACCCTGAGGTGCCATCCCCACGCAGCACATGATCCCACCAACTGCTGGTTTGAGCGACCGGGAGACCCCAGACTTTCAGCCCTTGGGAGAAGGTTTCCTTGTGGGTTTGGGGCTGGTTCCCCAGTTGTAGGAAGCACCAGGGCACCTCCGTGGAGCTGGGCTGCGTCCTGGAGCTAACGCGACCGCCGGCATCAGCAAGGCGCGGACAGGAGCGGGTTCCCGTGGGTTGGGGACGTTTGGGGGGTCTCCCTCCTCGTGCCCATGGGGCCTGGGCGCCGGGCTGGGGTGCGGTGCCTCTGCGGCCGCTCACCCCACCTCACCCCACTCTCTGCTTGCAGGTGACTGTGACCTGGCTGAGGACGGACGCCGAGACGGGGGCACCCTGCGTATGGATCCCGGTGCTGCGTCCTCCCGGCCGTGGCCCGGCTTTCCCTCGGCCAGTAAAATGGGACCAAGTGTTTTCTCTCTTGCCACTGGCACCCGCT